CACTCTTGGGCGAAACAATGGCGCCGATTGTCGATTATTTTCTCCATTGTGCAAGTATAATCCCACGTGGAAAAATAATAAAGTTGCAAAATCGGCGGGTGCAACACATTTCCGAAATGAAACGCCTCTCCGTAAACGTGTAATCCCCTGGTAAATGCTGTAATTATTCGTAATCTTTATGTAAGCAGGTGGTCACTGCGTCCCACGCGTTGTTTTCTTTGAAAAATCTTATTCTGGGAAAGAAGAATAAAAGGCATTGTCCATTATTTTATATTCCTCTATCTCCTCCATAAAGAATGTAAATTTAATTCTATATGCACTATTAAAAAATGCAACTATAAAAATTAATTTTTTTGTTATACGATTTTAGAATAAATAGGTATACATGACATATCGTAATAAAATTAGTGGTAAAATATTAAAATATTTTCACAACGTTATAAATATTGTTCCCAATTAAAAAGAAAATAAGAATAAATTATGAAACGACAGTTGCACATAAATAAATATTTACTTAAAAAAAAAAAAAAAATAAAAAGAAATGATGGTTAAATTAAACTGATAGTTTTACACAAAATTAATACTCGTACATTTATACACACATTTAGTATTTAAATGTTTAATTGACAATATATTTAAATAAACGTTTCGTTAATTCGCGTTAATATGCAGGGTCGTATCGGGGCTATTTCGATCCGAATACGATTGCAAAACGTATCAGCTACGTAGCCTCGTTTGTAATGGGCCTGCTGCTTTCCATGCGTGCCGGATCGGATGCGTGCAATTGCGGCGCGCAACTGCTTGCTACGGCGGAGAGTCTGTATATGCACTCGAGCGTACACCCCGAATCGTAGGTCAGTTACGAGAAAATATTGACTGATCGCGCGTAATGGCGCATCTGATATTAACAATAGTACCCTTCCCTTGGATCTATCCGCTATCTCTTGCGTGAAGTGCCGTGCACGCGCGACTATAACGAGGTAAACATAGGCGCGCGGATATTAAAGCGAGCGCGCGCATTTCCTGGCCTCGCATCAATTGTCATTAAACGACATGATTATTGCACATGTTGACGATTATTGCTGCGATAGACCATTACTGGAATATCCGCGCGGCCCTCATAATGATCGATAGCCGATATATATTCATCGGGCATTTCGTTAATGGCACATTGTATCAGCCGGCGCGGGTGCACGGCCTCGCGAAAATTGCGACGTTCCGTTAACGAGGCGTTTCGAGAATCGCTGTTAACCCGAAGTGTCGTTGTCTCTCCGGTTTGCGCGGAACACATTGGCCGTCATAGATACGGCAGACAAATGGAAATGTACGACGAACGAAAGTAATGGAGATTTTAATGCGATAATTTATATCCCGCGTTTCTAAATTCACAGCTAAATGGAAGCTTAACGGCTTTGGAAAATTTACAGAAAGTTATCGTACTTGCTAACGAACAACACGTATCGTATACATAATCACATATGAATTATTTAAATAAGTTTCTTGTTTAATTTTTTACCTCTCTCTCTCTCTCTCTCTCTGCCATGATGAAAGTTTATTCATGATGTTTAATTTTTAAATGTTACATTACGCGAATATATAATACTATTCAATTGCTTATAACTTTCATGAAAATTAATGAAGTATATTATAAAAATAATTTTATTTCAATCTCAACAATACTAAGCAAATGTATGTATCTTTATTAATAAAAAGTTACAAACATTGGAAAAAAGCATCGGGAAAGGTCAGGTATGTCATGACGAAAAAGCTTAAAATGTAGGAGCTAAATCGTTCTCTTTTTAAAAAATTTGTAACTTTTAAGAAATTTTGAAAACGCGACGTTCAATATTTATGTACGATACTCTTTGAAAGAGCGTTTAGTTCGGATCTCGCATTTTTACACAGAGCGCGTTGGCACGGCTTTCACGCCTGGCCCTTTCACAGAAAAGGGAAAGGAAAATCGAAACAGCTACCTGTTGATCGTGTAATTGTAGCCATTTAACCAATTAACGGCAGATATCGGCGATGCATTGTGCGCGTTTCACAAAAGACTTTCGCGTCGAGCGATAAAAAGTCATCGTCTCTTCAGCGAGTCGCTTATAATATCGTTGGCGTATTACGGTACACGTTACGATACGTCTCGACAGCTTGATGGCGAAGAAGAGTACCTGTTTAGCATCGCGTTTAGCAGAATCACGCCGCCACTTTGGTCCGCGATACTCGTGGCTGTCGTCGCGAATGATCGATCGTATATCGTTCCGTTGTAGTTGAAATGAGGATGATCTCGATGACTCGCACCCTCTGAATTACGTCTCGCATGTTGCATATCATACAGAGAAAATCCCTCGTGAGCATATATCGTTGTATAGTGAGAGGAGGGGAGGCGCCGTCGATTCTTACGAATAAACTGCTGGACGAGCCAATTGAGGATGATAAATCTATTTTATTTTCGGCGAATCATGCGACTTGTGGGGAGAGTAATGGAGATTATTAGGAAATGCAGGTGCCGCTTACGGATATTATGAGCTCTATTGAATGGCTTCCATAAAACAATAATGGGATCGGTCGGCTGATGTGAAGAGAAAATGGAAATGATGCGAAGGGAAAACGCGTTTACCTCATTTTATCACGAGATACGCGCGTAAATCTATAGGTACAGTTTTTCATTATCGGCGAGAGTGGCGGTGAAAGTAATTGATTTGAGAAAATTAGACGCACCTCTTCATTATGTGCGTAGAGAATTCTTCCGAAACGTTCCCATGTACGGATATAGCGGATTCTATTTCGGTGATTTTTAAATCAATTCAATATATTTTCAATATTTGTCTGGGAATAGAGTTACCTGAGAGGTACTTTTACATCCCAGCGAAAAAAGTGTGAATTGTTGTAAAATATTGTTTTGTATGGAGATATTGTTATATATATATATATATTTTTTTATAATTATTTTTTATCTTTAAAATTCCACTAAAACCTCGCAACAAAAAACTGTTATATTAATTATTAATTAAAATTTTTATTTTTTAGAAATCGTGTCTTATTGGACTATTTCTAAAAAATAAAGTTTCTAATTAATATAACAATTTTTATTTATGTGTTCATTCTGTTTAATATTTAGTTTCTTTATTTACTTTTTTCAGAAAAGTACGATTAAATCCATATTCATATAATGTTTTCAAATATTAATAAACCGGAAAATAATTAATAATTTAAAATTTTAATGTATAAGAAAAGAATGTTTACTAGTGTTAGGTTGGAGATATAGATGAGTCTATGTCAAGTATTTACTGGATTAAATCTAGTAAAACACTAACGTTTATATAAGAATATTATCGTATTGGAATTAAAATAATTTTCTTCATTAAGTTGATGAAAGGCGTCATTGAAGAAGAAACAATATTAATACGAGTATATTGAGTTTTGAACAAGTATTACTCTATTCTTTAATCGAAGTAAAATTTATTTTCAACTAAGAAAATATCTTTCACTTTGTTTTAAGAATAATTTATTCTGAATTGGAGATTGTTTATTCTTGGCGCTATTTTAAGCATAAAATATTCTTGAATTGAAGCATATGCATTACTTTAAGAATTCTTTTTTCGCGTGATGGCATTTTGCGCTGTATAATTAATAACTTTGTGTCACAATAGAAAAGAAGGAGATTTCACGTGTCGGTGGTTATAAAATATAGTCGGTGCATCAACGGGAGACGAATTTATCTTCCTCCATTTTCCGGCGTCGTATCTCGCGGCAACGGTAACGAGACGGGGAGAGGGACTCGGGACTTTCAAGACCCGATTTCAGTTTATCACACCGGCTTATCTACGTTATACGAGTATTCACGCAAATTTATCGATCTGTCTACAGCCGTTTCGACATAACCGAAGCGCTTCGTTTTGGCTCTCTCGAGCGTCAGCTTTATGCCGCGGTCCCCCGGGAATGCGATAAGGAAAGGAAAGAAAAAAAAAGAAGAAGTCAGCGGAGAGTCACGTTATGAGCATGAATTTTTATATTGAGATCTTATCGCCTGGGGTACCCGGCGCTACCGGGAAGGGAAAATAAAAGAGGAGATTTGCGGCGCTATAATGACGTTCACTACTGCAACGCGCGCGAGATGGCCAATTCATTCGTCCATTTTGACTCCTCCGGAATCAAGTTTCCTTTTAAAGCGCTTTCGGCACTTTCTAATATCTCCTCCTCCTCTAATTGCATTTAATTCAATTTGAAAGTAATTTGATCTTAGAATTCACCATTCAGATTACAAAATCTGTGTTTATCTCTATTTTGACAAAGGTTTCCCACCATATCGTATTATAAAACTTAAAATGTTTTATTCAACAAAGCGTTCACTGGTAATAATTACAAAGACAATTGATTAGTTGCTACTTAATTCAACGCTGGCACGCGAGAAGGCACGTAACGGAATGATATCTTAGTTACTTTTGATTACACATACAGTGCCGACTACGAGAACAAGCTACCAGGCAACGCGACGTGAGATACGCTTGTAACGCGTGACGTAATCAAGGCCAATACGACAGCACGTGCTGGGAGAATGCGAAACAATGTTAGAGATACATGACTCTTACATCTACGAGATGTTTATATTAAATGCATTATTTCTTTTACTATTGTTATACAGGGCGTTCAGTATATCGAAGTGTACGATATAAAAAGTATCCGATATAAAGCGAGTAAAAATATGTAAAAAATATATTCCTTTACTAGATGTATTTTATTAAAAATAATAATTGTTTAACAACACACGGCACAAATAAAAAATATTTTTAATAAAAAGTAGCGTTTACCTATAAATTAATGTCTGGATATATTTAATGATAGGACATATTTGACAATTCATTATGCACAGTTAAATAAACGCACGCGGTTTTTATATCGATTTTGAATTTTGCAATCGTACTTTGACCAGTTTTCGATCAATACAATCTATCGTGAAGAAAGGCTTAATTTATATGTAGTTATGGAGAGCTTCTGTCGAAGGCAGCGTGGCCGAGCGGTCTAAGGCGCTGGTTTTAGGCACCAGTCCGTAAAGGGCGTGGGTTCGAATCCCACCGCTGTCAAATCTTTTTTTTTTTTACTTTATTGTCTTTTGATGATTTTTAGTAGAAAAGATTTAAAATTATATGGATCATAAATACAGTATGCACGAATTAATTTAATTATTCTAGCTATGCTGTATTTATATTGACGTTTATTTAACAAAGTTAACAATTGCGATATAGAGACAATATGTTTAAACAATTATCTTTCAACATTGTAAATTTCTCTCCAATACCTTACGTATATTAATGTTATCGATTTTTTTTGATATGACTTTATTACATACTTATCGAGAGGGAATTTCAAGGACAGTATTGCAATAATTTATGTAGGCAACTTTACAGTAATGTGATCGTTATCTATGCAGTAACCACAAGCCTGTGTATACATAGCCGAGTAATACATAAGTACGTAGTACGAAATTAATATAATTTTGTTCTGCGATGGTAAAATTAATATTTGAAAGCAGCATTAATTGATTTGGGGTAATGAACACGCGAAATAAAGAGCGGAAAATCAAAAGTTAAGGTCCCACCGAGATTTGAACTCGGATCGCTGGATTCAGAGTCCAGAGTGCTAACCATTACACCATGGGACCTTCAAAAATCTTTTATGATAAGAGAGTTAAAATAGCACTTTGCCCCGATGAAATATTTTGCAATATAATCGCATTTAGCTCAATATCTCGTAAGATATAATGATGACATTCGATCTTTGGTGTGTTTGAGTTTGTATCTTTTATCGTCACTCGGAACACGGCGATATTCGTATAGTATAGACGTTCGTATTGAACGTATTTAACCATCTAATTTATTAGCGAGTAAGTTTTTCTTACGTTAATTGAAATCATCGACGACGCTGTATAAAGCAGACTGCTACTCTTGTGTTACTCGGAGATCATTGAAAACGGGGGATGTAGCTCAGTGGTAGAGCGTTCGCTTTGCATGTGAAAGGCCCCGGGTTCGATCCCCGGCATCTCCAGTTTTTTTGCCGCAGTTTATACGTGACAATTTATTTTGTCTTCCGTCGAAAATAATTCATTGTCGTATATTATTGATTAATAATTGATATTTTCTTCCAACTTTTATATGAATTTCTAGATGAAAAATATATTCATTTTTTAAATGAACGTTAAATTTCTCTTACGTGTATAATAATATTACATCCCCGTTTATATCACGACTTCTATCACATTTAACTTATCAGTGCATTTTACGCACAATACGCATAATGCATCGCTTATTCTTGTTTAACATTTGGTGAACGGCAAGAAGAAATAATGCATCATACTATTTATATAACATAATATTGAAATTGAATAATTATTTTTGTCGAAATTGTTACGCAACGTTAAAAAAAGAATCGATTCAGTGCGTCTCTCGTTTACAGTCTTTATTGAAAGGCACACAATCGGCGCGAGCCTGTCAACATCGGAATCGATCGTCGCGCGGTGAAAAAATGGCGCGTATTTAGAACGTCAACCGACGGCCGTGGCCGTATGTAAAGCGTGACAAGGGAGACGATGGCATGCAAATGAAACTGCGCAAAGAGATTGAATGGTAATAGTCTTCGATTCGTCATATGCAAAAGTTCCGCGTTGGTATCCGCGAGCACGGAGCTATCAGCCCCTCTCTCCTGTCGACGCGAAAGAAAGATGCTATCATTTGAATTGCCGTCGTCATCATACGGGTAGAGATACGTTATGCCTATCTCCATCGAACATACCCGGGAATAATCGTGCGAAATATACTGCGACATAAGGCTTTCCTTTTTTCCCTTTCTTTCCCTCTCTCTCTCTCTCTCTCTCTCTCTCTCTCTCTCTCCCCGTGGGGTGAATGCAAGCGCTGTGCACGTGGGAATTAATCATTGTTGGAAAAAAAAGAAAACGACGCAATAAGGCAGAACGTATAGCGCGAATCGCTGGTTCTCTAACGTAATCGCACGTCGATGAGTCGTACGAGAGGCAAGAAATGCTGGTGGATAATGGCCTTGATTGATCGTAAGCGTACTTAGTAGTCCGTGCTCTATCGATGCTACGATATACATGTAGCTTTGTTACTTGCGATATATTTTTCTTCGCTCTCTTGCTCCATTTGAAATATATATTCACATACTTATAATAAAGAATGGATCGTATAATATAACTTTTTATTTATTTTGAACTTGAAATATATAAGATACATGTATATTATTAAACAATGTATATTTTATCTATGTGTATAAAATATGCATTTTTAATAAATTACATATAAGTTTAAAATAGATAAAAAATATTGTAAGTAACATCATAAATATTATTTAATAGATTTCGCTCGTTTTTTGCAATGCAAAAGAAGTGACGGTCTGAATCGAGCGGTAATAAAGTTCTTTTTCATAAAATAATTTAATAATATATAATATTAGTATGACAAAAATGGTAGAGAATATAAAAAAACATAATATATTAAAAAATCGAAAGTTTCGGAACTCACAGGTCCTTTTTCAGCGATTGTTGATTTCTTTATGAAATTTAGGTAATCTGTAAATTATTTATTAAACTAAAACTCGTGTGTATTCGTTTAGCATAAAATATTTGGAAGATATCTTTAAAGATACTTGATAACAAATTTCATTATAGCTTCATGTTATGATAAAGCATAATAAGATATAATTATATGAAAATTTGTTATTAATTAAAAAATACTTGTTATCAAGTATGACTTAAGCAACTAATTAATTGTTTTTCTAATTATTATGAATACTTTGTTGAATAGAACATTTTAAACGATATCAATTCTTATTGAACGTAAAACCAAAACAAGGAGCGTACAGTGCTAGTTTAGATGTTAATAGCATTTGGAAATTCTGTGCAAACAAAGGAAATAGAACATTTACAGTACATAAGAAGAAATTGACAATTGTCAATTTAATTAGAAGCACTTGACGTTAAAAAATGATTTTAAACAATATAAAAAAATACACAAGGATTGCCAATTTCGATCTATTAATTGTAATAATTTTAATAATTTTTTACTGACGATGGTCTAAAATAGACCGAAACGTCTAGACAAATTTGACGTATAATTTGAATAAAGGCTCATCGTAACTAGCGCTGTGGCTGCGTATGCTCCTTGTTTTGGTTTTATTTTATATTATAAGATTATAAGTCACATAACACACATATTGTTTTGTTATTGAACATCTTAAGTTTCATACAAAAAACCTGACAGGATAATTTTTTCTCATATAATAGATACTAAAATAAATCTATATATAACAACGACAAAAAGAATGTACTAGTCTGCGAGAATTAAATTCGAACGCGTCGTATTACCGCTAAATTGCGGAATTCTTATAGAAAGCCACTTCACACGGAAACGTGTATATAAATCGGATATGTATGTCGCGACATCGGAGATTCGACGAGATCTAATAGAGTCGCCTTAAACCTGCGGTATTCGAAGTATTTCTTTCGAAGGGGAAAATAAGAGAGAGAGAGAGAGCTCTCTCGCCAGGATCCCCCTGTCACTGAACCGTTATAATATCCTGTCCGGCAATCCCGGGTATCTATTTTGTCCCCCGAGGAAGAACGTAACTATGTGAAAACAACATAAAAAAAAAATCCTCGCCGCGCATAGATATCGAGTTTTGACCCCCCCCCCCCCCCACCTACGGGCTGGGGTCAGCACTGGAGCGTATGACCATTTTGTCACACCCTCTCGCCCGAAAATTTTATTTACGAATATCCTTTCGCGTCGAGAGTGCTCTCGCGCTGTCCGAATTCGTGACGCGACATAAAAGTGCCCCGGCACCCCCGCCGCGCGTATAGTCGCGGATTCTTTCCGTGTTACAAGCGGCGTAACTTCCGGCTGAATTTAAATGTCCAATTGTCAGCGCGGCGCCGAGCCCTTCGACGGAACGTTTTACGGGCAATCGACGACGAAGGGATAACTTGTTCCGCAACTTTTTCCCGTCCAGCTATAGAACGTCCGTTATGACGTCATGGATGAATTTTGATTCCGCGCGAGAGCTATCTTCGAGTGTTATTGCGATCGGTCGAGCGATACGTACTTTTGCGGAATTATTTCACGAACGTTTCGCATTTAGGGCAGTGTTGAATTAACCTGGTTCTCGAGAAACTTTTTCAGGGACGTGATTCACGTTGCAAAATATAAATTTATGTTGTTTACTGTCTATGCGTTGTAACTGTATATATGTATATGTCGAGAAAAAGATACCTGTAACATGGATTAATTATCGATAGAAACTTGTATAAAATAGTTTGATTTGTACACAGAAAGTATATATAAAAAATGCTGTACTTTAATATAGACAGGGTTGGGTAAGTTAATGTTTTTTTTTAACTGAATAAAGTTAAAGTTAATGACTTTACAAAATTTTAACTGAATAAAGTTAAGTTAAAAGTTGCAGGAATAAAAAATTAACTTAACGTAAGTTAAGTCAATATTGAATTAACTCAAGTTGAAGAAAAAGTTAATTTCGAAAAAAATTATTTTTTAGATCAAAATGTCCTAATTTTTCTTAAAATGAGATTAAATAACTACAATATAGATTATTAGGTTTACTTTTTAATAAGTCCTAAGCCATAAAAAAATGTTTTAACTTAAAAAAAGTTATAAAGTTAACGTTTAAAAGTAACTTTGTCAAGTTAAAATTTAATGCATTTAAAATTAACTAAGTTAAGTTAAAAGTTATTAACTTTCTAATTTTTTTTTAACTTTTAACGTTTCAACTAGTTACTACCCAACCCTGAACATAAATAATGAGGAGCTTTAATGTTAAACAACCTTATTAATTGTCACTCTAGGCTATTAAAATTTTAATAACGAAAACTATACTAAATTCAAAGTGCACGGATGCAAACTCATTCCTAATAACATTCCACGGTCAAAGAGCTCGCGCTCTTTGAAAACAATCTCTCATTTTCGAGAGTAATCTTAGACTTGGACGAAAAATCGTAGCAACTTTAATTTATACCGAAATAATTTCACGACTCTCTCTCAAGCCTACCGACGAGGAA